CAGCCAACTCTGAGAGAAATTAAACTCTATCAAACACAATATTCTAAATTGATAAATCAGGAAATTGAATGGAAGGTTAAATTAATGAAACAAAAAACGTTTGAGTCGGCGAATAAATGTGGAAAACTGCTAGCTTGGCAGTTGAAGAGAAGACAAAGATTAAACACGGTTACAAATTTAGAGGTTGATGGAAAAAACATTCAGAATCCAGTGGATATTAGAAAGTGTTTCCAGAGATATTTTAAAAATTATACACCCAAGGGCCGCAAGACGAAGTTGAGATTAAACAATTTTTGGCAAAAATGGACTATCTAAATTGTCACAAGAAAATAGGACAATCCTGAACTCTAAAATAACACGACAGGAGATTGAACAAGCTATTCAGAACATGCAACTTGGCAAATCTCCAGGGCCAGATGGGCTGACCTCCAAGTATTATAAGATATTAAAAGACTATTTGATACAACCCTTGATGGAGGTCAGCAATGAAATTATCGAGGGGAGAGGGCACCGGATTCGTGGAAGGAAGCGTTCATCACATTAATACCAAAGTCAGAAGCTGAAAAGACACAACTGAAGAACTACCGTCCCATCTCTCTTTTAAATGTGGATTACAAAATATTTGCAGACATTTTGGCAAGTAGATTTAAAAAGTATTAAATGAAGTAATTCATAAGGACCAGGCCGGTTTTCTCCCAGGTAGACATCTGTTTGCTAACACAAGGAACATTATTGACATCTTGGAACTTCTGCAAACAGATATAAATACAAAAGCAGTTTTAATTTTTATAGATGCGGAGAAGGCCTTTGACAATATTTCCTGGAAATTTATGATGGGAAATTTAAAAGAGATGGGAGTGGGACGGGGTTTTGAGAATGGGATTGAGGCGATATATTCAGAACAGAAAGCTAAACTGATAGTTAATAATGTGGTTACAGAAGAGTTTAAAATTGAAAAAGGGACACGACAAGGTTGCCCTATTTCCCCTTGTTATTTATTTCGGTTCTGGAAGTGCTACTGAACATGATTAGAGGGGATCGGTTGGTGGAAGGAATTCAGGTTGGTCAGAAACAATATAAACTAAAAGCTTTTGCAGATGACCTGGTTTTGACCTTGCAGAAGCCAGAGCCCAGTACGAAAAGAGTATTACAATTGATTAATGATTTTGGTCGGGTGGCGGGATTTAAATTAAATAAACAGAAAACTAAGGTTTTGGGGAAAAATTTGACTGATACAGAGTCAGAACGGTTTCAGAATGAGACGGAACTTAATGTGGTTAAAAAGTAAAATACCTAGGGGTAAACATAACAGCAAAAAATCTAAGTCTATTTAAGGATAACTATGAAAAATGTTGGACAGAAATTAAGAGAGACTTAGACAGTTGGTCAAAATTGAAACTTTCTTTGTTAGGCCGAATTGCTGCTATTAAGATGAATGTATTGCCAAGGATGTTGTTTTTATTTCAAACACTTCAGGTTTTGGACAAAACGGAGTGCTTTCAGAAGTGGCAGAGAGATATTTCGAAGTTTGTCTGGCAGGGCAAAAGCCCAGAATCAAGTTTAAGATATTAACTGATGTAAAACAAAGAGGGGCTTTGCCCTGCCGGACTTAAAGTTGTATTATGAAGCCGCAGCGTTCTGCTGGCTAAAAGACTGGCTACTTCTTGAAGACACTGATGTGTTGGACTTGGAAGGGTTTAATAATGTTTTTGGATGGCATGCATATTTATGGTATGACAAAGTTAAAGCAAATAAGGCCTTCAAGAACCATATTGTCAGAAAATCATTGTATAATGTCTGGACAAAATATAAAGACTTGCTGGAAAATAAAACACCAAGGTGGCTTTCACCTTTGGAAGCTAAGGCCCGAAAAGACCCAATATGGAGGCTAAATGGCCAAAATATTGGGAAATACTAGAAAAAGATGGAGACAATTGGAAATTGCAGAGTTTGGAGAAAATGAAAGACAAAGTGCGAGATTGGTTACATTACGCTCAGATTAAAGAAGTTTTTAAAAATGATAAGAAACTAGGGTTCCAGGTGGAGAAATCGAAATTAGAAACAGAATTGTTAGAACCAAAGACTAAGGTACTTTCAAGGATGTATAACTTGCTGTTGGAATGGAATACACAAGATGAAATGGTTAAATCGGCTATGATAAGGTGGGCACAGGACATTGGGTATAATATTATGTTTGAGGACTGGGAAAAGTTGTGGAGTAAAGGATTGAAATTTACTGCATGTAACGCTCTGAAAGAAAATGTAATGAAAATGATTTATAGATGGTATATGACCCCAGTTAAACTTGCAAAAATTTACCACCTGTCTGATAATAAGTGTTGGAAATGTAAAGAGTGTGAGGGAACGTTCTTCCACCTCTGGTGGACCTGCCCTAAAGTGAAGGCGTTCTGGGAAATGATTTATAATGAATTGAAAAAGGTATTTAAATATACCTTTACCAAGAAACCAGAGGCTTTCCTTCTGGGTATTGTCAGCCAAGGGGTGGCAAAGAAGGACCAGACATTTTTATGTATGCAACAACAGCAGCAAGGATACTTCTTGCAAAACATTGGAAAACTCAAGATTTACCCACACTGGAAGAATGGCAGATGCAACTGATAGACTACATGGAACTGGCTGAAATGACCGGCAGAATCCGTGACCTGGGAGAAGAGAGAATCGAGGAGGATTGGAAGAAATTTAAGAACTATCTACAAAAATATTGTGATTTGAGTGAATGCTAAATAAGATGCTAGACTAAATAACTGAGCACCACTTAACTTAGAAGTTTTTAAGAAAATAAGTAAGACTGTGAAAGTTTAACTCTTTATGAGAACTATAAGATTATGAAACATTGAAGAGATATAAGAATTTAAATAAGATGATAAATTGCTGACAAAATGTTATAACGATGAAAGTGGGAGCGGGGGATGTGAGGAAGTCCAAAGAAAATGTGAAACTATGTTAAGACAAATGTTATATTGTTTATTATGTTTATTTTTATTGTAAAACCCAATAAATTGCTCTAAAAAAAAAAAAATAATTTTCAAAATCAGTTGGTTCTGTACATATGCGCAAGGTCAGTTTCAGAAGGTAAGATTGGTTTTGGTTTTTGCTCAGTTCATGGCATTTGAATTGTAGAGTCCCACAAGTTTCCGTCTAATCACCCATTTTTTAAAAAACATCTATATAAAATGGCTTGTTGAAATAACCTGGGAATTTGGAGTTAGGTGTCACAGGGCAACTATTTCTCCTTGTCACCTTGATCAGGTGAGGCTGTAGAAATGCTGAACCACTGTCAGGACTTGGTGATGAACTACATGAGGATCAATAAACTGGAGCTGAACCCTGACAAGGCAAAGTAGGTGCTTCCCAGGACTAGGAACTGGGTGTGCAAATAGGACTGGCGGGTTTGCATTCCCACCAAAGGAATAAGCATACAACTCCAACACTGTAATTATAGATCCAAGTAGCCTTAGATCACCTTTTGCCAATTTTGGCTGGCTTGTCTGCTATAGCCTTTCCTGGACAAAAATAACCTGGCTATAGTGATTCAACCTTCCAGTTGGATAAATGCAATGCATTGCACATGTGGCTGCTGGTTCGGAAGATGCAATTAGCACAGAATTCTGACTGGTTAGTCTAGATAGAATCATATTAAATCTATTCTGAAGGAATTACACTGTTTTTATTTGTTTCCAAACTCATATAAAAATGCTTGTGTTTACCTTTAAAGATCTCAATTGCTAAGGACCCAAATATGTATTTTTGCATAAAGCAAGCTGCCTGTACATTAAGGTCTCCAATGAGACCCTTATCTGAGTTCTGCCTGTAAGAGAGGTGCTTTATGTACTTACCCAAGTAAGGTAAAGTAAAGGGACCCCTGACCGTTAGGTCCAGTCGCGAACGACTCTGGAGTTGCGGCGCTCATCTCACTTTACTGGCCAAGGGAGCCAGCATTTGTCCGCAGACAACTTCTGGGTCATGTGGCCAGCATGACTAAGCCGCTTCTGGCTAACCAGAGCACCACACGGAAACGTCGTTTACCTTCCCACCGGAGCAGTACCTACTTATCTACTTGTACTTTGACATGCTTTTGAACTGTTAGGATGGCAGGAGCTGGGACCGAACAACGGGAGCTCACCCTGTCGCGGGGATTCGAACCGCTGACCTTCTAATCGGCAAGCTCTAGGCTCAGTTTGGAGGGGACTTTCTTAGCAGGGGAACCCTAGCTTTGGAATACCCTCCAAAAGGAAGTAAGACTGGCACTAGCATAGCATTCTTGTTGGAGCCAAGTTAAGTAGTTTTTTTTATTTGCCCAGCCTTTTAAAATCTCAAAAATAATTTAAAAGGAAATTAAATTTTCCATGTCCTTTATATTTTTACTGAAATGTATTTATATTTTTTAATAGTAAAATATATTCATTTAAGGAAAATACAGTTTTTACAGTTGTAATAGAAATCATGGTTGCACCATTTCTATTCCCCTTACCACGTCTAAGCCACATATACGAGTGAAGAAAGCCAAGTCAACTAACCTAGGATGTAATTGACAATTGTAAAAATTTTACATTTATCTCACTCAGCATGGCGAATCAAAAAGGCTATCTTGAAACTCCATTCCCAGAAACACTATTTCAGGAAGGCTATCAGCATTTAAGAATGAAGCACAACATTGCCAGATAAACTGATCTTAAGGGACTAGTAAAACAAATGGGATGGCAAATTAATCCTGCAAAGGAATTCCACCTATTGTTTTAAAACGCTGAATTTTTAAAAACTATGTCTCCAACTTTTAAAGGGCTTAAAGTTATCATTCTTTTGCCTCTTGAGGACATTTTCCCATTTGTGTATTATTATTTTTCTTGAATCCATTAAAAGGGTAATTATTTGCAAAAACTACTGATTAAGCTTGTGTTTGTCACAGCCAGATTCACTGAGTACATTATTTTTATATTTTGAAAAAAGATTCCTGTGAATTATTCTTTTTATATTTTTTTCAGTAGGCAGGTGGAAGTAGGCGTGAGTAGGAGGGTAAATGTTCAGGTGAACAGATGCCATAACTTTATTGAGAGGTTGTAAGGAAATGGCGCACAGTGACATACTGAAGGCTGACATGAAGTATTGCAACTGAAACATTGTGACAGGAAAACATGAAAGACGAACTTCCTGAGGAGCTCTCATAAGACTAACAGGAGAGTGAGAGGCAAAAGCAGGAAAGTTAATGGGATTTCCTTTTCAAATATAGGATCTCCAGTGCAGTAACCATAACAATATACAGTGGTACCTCGGGTTACAGACACTTCAGGTTACAGACGCTTCAGGTTACAGACTCCGCTAATCCAGAAATAGTACCTCGGGTTAAGAACTTTGTTTCAGGATGAGAACAGAAATCATGCGGCAGTGGCAGCGGGAGGCCCCATTAGCTAAAGTGGTGCTTCAAGTTAAGAACAGTTTCAGGTTTAGAACGGACATCCAGAACAAATTAAGTTCTTAACTTGAGGTACCACTGTAATATGTATAGTGGAGTATGAGGGTGAGTATGTAAAATGCCTTCACAAGGTTGAGACTATTGGTTAGTTTAGCTCAGTACTGTCTGCTCAGGTTGGTAGCAACTCTCCGGTGTTTTAGACAGGAGGTGTTTTTTGCGGGGGTTTCCTATTCCCAGCCCTACCTGGATGTGTCAGGCATTGAACATGGGACCTTCTGAATGCCAAGCATGCATTATCGCTAAGCTATCACCTATCTCCGTTAAGGTCTTGTAGTTGAACACACTTAATAATATCCTATAATTGCAGAGTTGGAAGGGACCATTAGGATCATCTAGTCCAACCCCCTGCAGTGCAGGAATCTTTTTGCCCAATGTGGGGTTCAAACCCACAGCCCTGAGATTAAGAGTCTCGTGTTATACCAGCTGAGCTCTTGCCTAGGTTCTAGGAATCTTGGTAGATAAAAGTTTGAGGTATACTAAACAGCCTTAGGATGAGTATCTGTCCAATTCATGCAGTTTCGTGAATATTTTTCTGAAGAACATAGACATTTCACCATTTACTCCTAAGCTGTTATGAATCTGGAATAGGATAAAGCCTGAAATTCAGTATTTTCATAGGCAATAAAATCCACCAATACTGCAATTGAAATTCCATAATATGCATATAAGTGAATGTGAAATTTCTCAAGGCAAGACATTGTATGCCGCATTGGAAGATATCAATTTCACACACACCAACACAGATCATATTGTTTCTATAAAATAACAAATACAGTCACGGGAAAAAGAAAGTGCACCCTCTTTGAATTCTGTGGTTTTACATATCAGGACATAATAGCAATCATTTGTTCCTTAGCAGGTCTTAAAATTAGGTAAATACAACCTCAGGTGAACAACAACACATGATATATTATTCTGTGTCATGATTTATTTAACAGAAATAAAGCCAAGATGCAGAAATCATGGGTAAAAAACTATTTTGAAAAGAAAGACTTTAGCTTGAAATCTCTGAAACACATTTTGGTCATTCTAATTGCTCCTGGAGGAGGTTCTCTGTTTAGAGTGAATGGCTTGGCCATAATACTGGCAGTGTAGACTGTACTGGCTTCTATGTAGTGGGTCTACGTGCTGCCATTTGCACCCTTAGTATTCAGTTGCAATTTAAACGTTCTCAAAAGCAGTTTCACTTTAGCAAATATTTTCTGTACCCTTTATATGCACAATTATTTCAAGAGACAATCACACGCTCTTAAATCACCCCCAAGTTTCAGTTTAATAACAGGATGAGTAGCACAAAACAGTCTGGCAGATGACCAGTGCATGAATATCATGCATACCACTTGCGTAGGAGCTAAGTTGTTCTCTGCACCTAATATATGGAATCACATGTGAGGATAATGCATTCACTTGATAAATACAACCACTGAAGAATAGCAAGCAAAATCTATTGTTGGCAATCACCCAAGATTATAAACCTACTCATGCTGCCCTGTTCTCTGCATTTATAGTTGACTAGCATATTAATCTATACCTAGTTTCTACAGAAAAAACTATTCAATTCATCCACTTTTAGGTTAATGGAAGGAAGCATCAATATAAACCTATTAAATATTAAAATCTAAATACTATTTAGATATATATTATAGAGTGTTTGGGGAGGAATGTATGTGTAGCATGGCACACTCTGAATATGACAATTCACACAAGCAAGCAAGGTCTCTATGGGAAGCATTTATTCTTTGTTTTTTTCACAGTCATATCATTACTTGATAAAGACATAGAACTTTGGGCTTCACAACCTGTGAAAGGGTAGGAATTCTATTAAGAGGGTCTACCATCATTCATGGTTCTTGTTGGTTTCCTACAAGAAGGGAAAGTCTTTATCAGTCTTCGCAGGGCTTTTTTGAGCTGGAACGTGCCGGAACACAGTTCCAGCACCTCTCACCTCGTCCCTGTGGCTCACAAGGAGACCCTCCTCAGAACATGAAGGGGACATCCTCCATGGGCTCCAGAGAAGGTCTCCTTGTGAGCTGGAGGCACAGAAGGGCTCTTCAGCCTCCAGGCTAACAGCTAATGCATGGTAAGAAGCCCAGCGCATCAGCTCTGCAAGCTGCCCTGTCTCTCCTGCTTATGCTCAAGCCAAAGAAGCAAGGCTGTTCCATGGACTGTCAGAGCTGAGGCACAGGGAAGAAGCCTCCCTGTACGTCAGCTCTGCAAGCCGCCCTCTTTGGGCTCTGGGGTGGGTCTCCTCTTTGAGCCACTAGGACTCTCCAGGGTGCTCCCCATTATATGCAATTTTGCATATGCCCGCAGGGGCCCCAAACGGAACCTCTGCACAAATGGGGAGTCACCTCTAATACTAGTACAAAGGTCTGTTTGTGATGAGTTCCTGCACCTTTTTTTCTAGAAAAAAGCACTGTGTCATTGAAAAGTGAATGTACCTGGCAGGTGTCCTTTGGCAGAACGTCCTTCAAAGTAGACACCGGCAATGAGAAAGCCCTGTTTCTTTTAGCCAAATGCCTAACATCAGAAAGGCAGTGTTTCACCCAATGAATTTAGAAATGCAGATAGCAAACAGAAAGAGGCAAGCCTTCAGTTACCTTAGACCCAGGCCATTTAAAGCAAAACCATACGTGGTAGACAACCTAAAAAGACAATACTACAGTAAAAACAAAAAGGTAAACACATCAGTAAACACCATTCCCTGATCTTTCTGACTGATCCCTCTTTAAGCTTTTGGGAACAGGCCTGAATCAGAAATGTAGAACCTGTGGCCCTCCAGATCTTATTGGACTACCAATCCAACATCTTGACCACTGGCCACACTGGCTGGGGCCAATGAAAACTGGGAGTCCAACAACAGTTGAAGGACCTCTGGCTCTGCATTCTTTGTCTAAATGGAGTCATGGTATCTTAACCAGTTTCATTTCAAATTCTGTAAAGCACAACTTTTCTAGAACTATATCTTTGTTATAATTATTTCTGCCTTCCTGATATTAATTTATGTTGACATTAGTATCCTGTCATATGGCACAGCAGTGCTCTTAGTTCTTTTGGCATGGCAATCTTCTGTTGCAAAGGGCTCTGCCTTTTCCAAGGACATTTTATGGACTTGCAGGTGGGTGCTACAATGCCCAACTGGGATGGTGGGAAGCTGCCATATGCTTGGTAGCAAACAAACAAGAAACACACAGTTCAAACGTAATGAAAAGGTTGGCACACGGTGAACACTATGCAAAAATGCCTGACACAAACAGAATGTTTCCAGTTATCAGATAAATATCATATGATATTGAAAACCTCTCCCACCATTGTGTATGTTTCAAGCTCGTAACATAGAACTTGACAAATTGAGTGATGCAATTCCTAGGCTGATTAATTACTACAGTGGCACCTCGGGTTTCAAACGCTTCAGGTTACATACACTTCAGGTTACAGACTCTGCTAACCCAGAAATATTACCTCGGGTTAAGAACTTTGCTTCAGGATGAGAACAGAAATCGTGCTCCAGCGACGCGGCAGCAGCAGGAGGCCCCATTAGCTAAAGTGGTGCCTCAGGTTAAGAACAGTTTCAGGTTAAGAACAGACCTCCGGAATGAATTAAGTACTTAACCCGAGGTACCACTGTATTTACATTTGTTTCTTCTTTAGAAGAGCACAGGTGGTGCCACACAGGAAGCCCAAGTCCTTGCAGATACAACCGTACCTTGGAAGTCCAGTGGAATGCATTCCGGAAGTCTGTTCGACTTCCAAAATGTTTGGAAACCACGGAAGGCCCGTTGGATGTTCAGCTTCCAAAAATAGTTTGCAAACCGGAACACTGACTTCCAGGTTTGCTACATTCGGGAGCCAAAACGTTCAAGAACTAAGCTGTTCGGAAACCAAGGTATGACTATACAGAGAAAATGTCATAAGGTACTTGCAAGTGTTTAAGTTCCGCAGATCAAAGTGGTTCAGTAGGCATGTAGGGGGCAAGGCAATCCCTCAGCTAAACAAGTTCCAAGCTGTTAAGGGCTGCATATACTTGGAGACCTTGGATGTGGGCCAGTGGCAAATTGGCAGCTAGTGCAGAACTTTGAGCAGAGGTGAACTATGCTAGCAGAATCTCATTTGGGTCAGCAACCAAACTGCAACATTCTGTAGTAACTGCAGATTCCAGACAAATTGCAAGGAAAGCCCCACATAGATTGCTCTGCAGTAATGCAGTCTTGAAGTTACCAATGCCTGAATTACTTCGGTCAAGCTATCCAGCTCCAGGAATGGCTACCACTGCCACATCTGATGAGACTCTGGGAAGGTGCTCCTAGCCACAGGGGTCAGCTGGGTCTCTAGTAAACAGGTCCATTTTTCAGATATACGAACTACTCATCCACAACACTTGCTGGAATTCAAACTTACTTTATTCACTCTAATCTAGCTCACCACTGTATCCAGGTCCTGGTCCAGGCCTGCATAGCCTCCTTAGTGAGATGCCATTGAGAAATAGAGCTAAGTGTCTCAAATCACCTAATGTAATGGTTCTAGGGGTTGCTCGTGCGTAAGCAGGTACCTATCTCCCCGGCTGGGTGGAAACACCTGGCTGGGTTGCCAAAGTGAACCTTTTTCTGTCCGGACAGCCACTCACCCGTGGCTGACTCAATCGCTGGCAGAATCCGTGAGTGGGCGTTTCTTAAACTACTTCCAGCAAAGAAGTTCTTTGACGCCTAGTCTCCGCCTACCCTCTCTGCGCGGAAGCCTTCTGCACAGGGAGGGCGTGGGCAACGGAGGACCCCTACTCTCCCCGCTGGTCCCAGGCAAGGAGTCATGAGACCGCCTCGCCACTTCCCCCAGCTGCCCCCCTTCTCCACTGGTGCTACGCTGATTCTCTTCCCCAGAAGATGGGCTGCTCCTCCCGATCCCTGGACGCTCTCTGGAATCCCTCTGGCTTTTGCTCTCCCCCTCCAGTACTGATGGCAGTTCACTGACACCTAACAATATGAAAAGCTAAGAAGAAACATAGGTCTTTCCTTTGCTCAGGTGTTTGTCTATCTGAAGCATAAGAAACTATTGAATTTCAAGGTGATGTTCAAGACAGAATGTGATGGTACTGGGGAAAGGCTGTAACTCAGTGGTTGAGCATCTGCTTTCTATGCATGAGGTCTTAGGTTCAGTCACCAGCATCTCCAGGTAGTGTTGAGAACGGTTTCCTTGTCTGAAATCGTGGAATTTTGAAGGGTGTCTGTATTTTGGTTCTCATATTTCAGAAAGTATGAATTTGGTAGATTCAGCTTTCAATAAGAACTAAATCGAATTTGTCCCTCATCCCTAGTCATAACATGCATGTTCCTGACTGGGGTGGTGGTGGTACAGAGTTACATAAGAGAATGACACATTTCCTGTTTTTTTTACTAGATTTGGAATGTTTGTTTGTGTTCCTGAAACTAAAAGGACATGAATAGAACTGCCCAAGATTGACCTCTAAGTAAAGGACGCTTTCATGAGCCACGCTGAGGACTGCTTCGCACAATACAACAACCAAAAGGAGTCCACATGAAACTGTTCCATACACCTTGTGGCTTTTGTTCTTCACTGGCAAATATCCTTTTCCGTGGCTTTTCATAGAATGCAGCCAAATTAAGAGGTCAGGCTGATCTATATGACAAACCAGTATGTACAAAATGGCTTGCTGCAAGGAGCTCTTGCCACCCAGAGGCAGTTTCAGGCTGGCAGTGCATATGGTGTCTGCATTACAAAATGTACCCCTTTCTTAAAATGGTATTTTTTATTGTATTCTTAAAAGTAAATAATGTAGAGTGAGTAAATAAGATAAAAACATAGATCCAAAGACTGCTAGAAAATACTCAAAGAAAGAAAAAAGAATGAACAACAAAGATGAAACCTTAAGAGTTGCTTGTTAAGCTGACGTTTTTTAAGTTCCAAGGTGTATTAAACTGAATCTGAATTTCATCCAATGCACATCCATATTATGTGAGGAAGTACAAAAACTGATTTAAACATCATCTGTGAAAATAGCCTAAGTTTTGTCTTGATACAGGGCAGATGACTGACTTTTTCCCATTAGCTGGACTGGGATTCTGCAAGTGGTCAGCACTCCTGTGGGTTACTGAGGGCAATTATGTACTTCTGCCTACAAGTCAAAGATTAAATGGTGGAAGAGTTATGAGCATTTCCAACCACCACACTTCTTAATTATTTACTTTCTTTTCTTAAACCTGAGCTCTGAAGGGAAAATATTTGCTCCTTTTTCTCTTCCTGCAAGCCCCTCTAAAACCATTTATTATTAAAGATCTTCTGGGGAAAGATGAGGACAAAAAAGACTCCTATCTAGCAAGCAAACAAACAAACTTTTTTGCTTACCTTATTTTGCTTGCTCTATCATGTGTTGAATTACTGAATAATATCAAGTGAGATCTAGACATTTGGATGATATAATGTGGTGGAACAATGTTTTGCTTGCAGCAATTATTTGTGAGTTTAGGCATCTGCAACACGTTCAGGATTTGTGTGAGATAAGACTCTGAAATAACTTTAACATTGCCCTCCTCTGTCTATTGTGAATAAAAAGATGAATGCAGTTGGAGAATAAAGTATTACACAAGTGACTTCAGCAAATCAGCGACACAGGCAGCAAAGGAAGGAGGCAGATGTACAGAGAAACAAATACATAAATAAGTTCTCTAACATCTCAGTAATCAATCAGAACAATTATGTTTCTAACAACTCATTCCCACAACAGTTTTTGGGTTTTTTTGTAATTAAACAGGTCTCTTCCCTCTCCCCCCCTCTGGCCCCGCATATACTTTTCATTAGGGTGGCAGTACTCACATCTCATTTACTGTGTGGACATCATTAGAGTGAGCAGCACAGAAAGATTATTAGCGTTGCATCTGAACTCTGCAAATGTCAAGCCAAATGGGAATGGTGGATAGTGATACGAAACCTATTCCAGTTATCATATGTTAATGAAAAGAAACAATTCAGTTTTCAAGAGGAAGAATGCATGAGGTAGATTTATGAAGAGCCAGCATATATACACTTTTCTGTATTCCCCTCCTCATTAAAATATGTAGATACTACCATTAGACAGTCAGTATACAAGCTTACACCACAAGCCTTCAGAGTGAAGCTAAGAACAGTGCAATTTGCAAGTTAGGACAACCACAAAAGTGGCCCTTGCTTCTATCTCTTAATAAAAATAAATAATTTACCATCACAGCTGATCAGACCAATTAGACACTAGTCACCAATTATTTATGCTAGTGCAATGGCAATGAAGTTGATTGTTCTACACTAGTCTAAGGTGGCTCCTTGCATCATTGCTTTACCAGTGCCTCATCAGCAAAAGTAAAGTGTGTCAGCATAATTTCTTACGTTTTTTCTAAGAAACCCTCTTCCAACTGATTTGTCAGAATCCAGACATCCAATTGTTTTTCAAAAAATGTTTAATGCTATATTACCTCAGTCACATTTGATATTTCTCAGAGGTTTTGTATGTTTATATATATGAATTTAATTGACAGTTTCACATTTAATATTTTGCAAATGCATCACAAATAAGATATCCAGATATGAGCACATGACCTCTATAAATTTTTAATTAATGAAGTTTTCCTAGTAGGTCATGTGTGTGTGTGTGTGTGTTTGTTTGTTTGTGTGTGTGTGTGTATAGAATAAATCAAACACAAATACTAATAAAAGTGTTATAATCTGTTACATCATTGTATTCAATGTTTACATACTTGTGCCTGTACATACAATGGCCTGGAATCAACAAACTCATTCCACTAGTGTAAGCCAGCTCAAGGACTCACACTAGCACCAAGGGGCCCCTCCTCTCTCCCTATGCCTCTTGTGCCTTCTCCAAATCCACTTTGGAGAGTCGGGAAAACTCCCAGATAGCATACAAGGGAAGGAGACCCTCTTGACCCTCTCTAGTTGCAGGGAACTGCTTTCATATAGCTGTATGTGTATGGACAACCTAATGCAATTGTCCAATACCAGTCTGTGTATCAAAATGTGTCTACATGTGTATGAAATATATATCTTGGCCATTTATAGGACTGAGAGCAGCATTATATTGCAGGACCACCTTCTTTCATATATTTTCCCCTTAATGCTCTGGTTTTCATCTGAGGTACTGCTCCAGCGCCTCAGCAGGACAGACCTGAGGATTAGGGATTTTTTCTGCAGTGGAAAACACTCTGTGGAACACCCTGCCAATGAAGATTCTTCAGGTACTGATGCTTAATGTTTTATATAAGTTTAAAAGAAATAAATCAATTTAAAAATGCAGTGCACATTCAGACATGCATCAGCACCAGCTACATGAGCAAGATGTTGCTATTGAACATGGATCTTCCTTGCTAGATTAGGGCAAACATTAATATAGGTCTAGTAAATGCTATTAGTGCTCTAATACTCAGACATATTCATGCAAGCAATAAAATGTAGAAATAAATTAAAATAGTTTAAAATTAAAATATCACACCTCTATCTGATGCACAGACCATGTTGGAACCCTTGTTTATGACAACTACTGAAACTAAGACCACCCAAAACTGCAAAGTTTGGAAACTGAACACGTGAGAGGACTTGAGTGGATTTTAAGATGGAACTTGTGGAGAATTTTAGAATTCAGTTTTTGTCCTCCAAGTATCCTAGCTGCACCATCACACACTTAACTTCTTCAGCACCTACCAATTATCCAATATGTCCACAGCTAACTGAATATCATTTTAGTGGCCTGTCTCAAAAGAAGAGATTTTGAGCTTCATCTCTCACCTGTTTTGATCTCTAGACAGTTGCCGAAGTCTCATTTTCAACGTTATGATGCTCCTGCCTAGCCCTAAGTGTCAAGGCTCTGCCCTGAAAGATACACATGGTTCATTCTTCATTGTTGTGAGCACCACAAAAACATCACCTATCTGCCCTATGACAGCTCTCAGCTCTTCCTTTCGATTTCAGGCAACTGTCCCTTCACAATTATTTTGTGAGTATCTGAGATTAGGGCCATCTTAGAATTTCAAATGTGTAGGTGAGTCAAAAAATATCTTCTGTTTTACAAACTATTTCCCTTTTATTCCTCCACCTGCATTCTAATAAAACAATAGACCTTTTGACTAAGTGGTTTTCATGCTTTGAAACTTCCCCCAAACAATACTTACTTCAAGAAAATTGAATAAGGCATATGACAGAGAAGAGAGAATGTGCTGCAGACTTATTCAGTGGATACTGGGGAATTAGACTGGTTCTCTCCAGTGACCCTAGTCCAGAGCCTAACCTATTATTTAGGCTACCTCTGGTTTTAGGAATATGTTTCCCCAACCCCTAGGAAGGCTGTGTAGTATATACAGGGGGAGGAGAGAAGGAAAAGTCCCATTCCAGAAGTAGGAATCCTTTCACTGATGGGACATGCAATTGCATACCATCCTATGGATTTTACTTACCCATTTTCTCATTGACACTGCTGTTGTGGCAAGGTTTAACTGCTGAAAGGTGTAAGGCATTAGGGGTGTTCTCAGCCCAGGGTTTCTCGTAGCCAGGCACCTCAAGAATCCAATCAAAAGCCAGACTAAGCTCAAGAATGCCAACTATGCTACACTTCAACTCCTGTCACTTAGTTGAGAACTCCATCAGTGGATCTCAAGGCCTGGCCCTGCATATCTCCACCCTGAGGAGCAACTTTTTTCAAGAGAAAATGCCCTTTGCGCCTTCCCCTTTTGGAATCTGATACCTGAGCACCTGAATTAGACTACATTATGTAACTCTGCCCCCTTTGACTTTCGACTAGCGCCTCTGGAACTGGACCTGAATGTATCTTTAACAGGGTTTCTCACATCTGTCTCCCCCACAAATAAAACTGATGACCCCTGGAGCTCAACCTCTTGGTGGTATGATACCAGACGGGTTCTGACACAGTACAGCTGACATCATAAATAACCCCTTCTGCCTTTCTTGTGTACCTCCAAGCTTCTTTTCAAAAAAATGCAAGAATGTTCATAGTGTATCATTTTTCAATATTTGCAAATTATTATTATTTTTTTTGCTAAGGTCTGTTGCCATATCAAGCAATGCTATCTTGGTCTATAATTATATTTGGACCACAAAATAAGTATTTTAAAAAATCAATACCATTTATGTATTTAAGATCTGCACAACTGATTTATGTGTTTGTGATCACTGCTCATTTCATTTTGTGAAGCTGCCTATTACTGGTTTATTAAAGCCTTATTATAGTATTAAGCCTGAATGTCAATCTTGGTTCCAGTCCAGGCTCTGCCTACTCTATTTAGTAATTACCAACATAAATAATATCGAATTGGAGTGAATTTGGGTCTTGCTGATCAATAGAAAATTTACTCTAGACATCCTGGCACTTTGTCACTATTCCCCAAAGAAGCATTATTAATACAAACTTGCCTAGCTGAAAAGAAATATGTGCGCATAGTCAGAACAGTAAGTTGGCCACTAATTCAGTTTCTCCACAAAGCAGTATTATACCACACCACAGGGGAAAAAATGCTTACTTGATGGGCAGTGCAGTATTGTTTGCACACTCTTATATAGCAGAGTTTTTAATCCTACCAGATAAAAGCCTAGGCAGCCAATAAGGGCCACATTAGGCATGACATAGAAGACCCATCATTTGATCATCTAAAACTGTTTCTGTTGCTGAAAGAATCTACTGCAGGGTGGAAAACTGGCCGCAGGGGTTAACTTTTTCCTCATGCACCATTGTTGACATAAACTCCTCCCAAGCTAATATTATACACAGAAGATGGAAATGGAGGTACAATAGAGGTACCGGTACCTTTTTTCCTTCTCCACTGCTAATAGAGAGGTTACTTTGGGAGGTAACCTCTCCTTCCCCAGAACTATGGGTCATATCTGAGGGCACTGTGGATGCTTTAATGAAAGAAAAAGACTGAGATAGATCTAACTTTACAGATTTTACACCTAGTCTGACCCTAAGAATGCAATGAATGCAAAACATACTGTAAATACTATCATTCACCAGAGGGGATATATATATATATATATATATATATATATATATATATATATTCATTTACTATGGTAAATTTACATTTTAGACATATATTTAAGTGGACTATAGGGTGCACTTAAGTAGAAAGATAAGCAATCAGAATCCCTGTCCAAATACCATTCACCAAATATTGATATTGATGAGAAGCAGCTGTGTCAATGGAACTTCTCTGTGTCTTATACTACTTTAACAGCCATTGCTTCCATCAAAGAATCCCGGGAACTGTAGTTTGTTAAGGGTGTTGGGATATGTCAGTCTGTGAGGTCAGCAGCCTTAAGGATGCTTTAAATGAATGGTATGAATGTGACTGATTCATAAAAGGCTATTTTAGAATGAGGGGGAATCAATTTTTCTCATAGTTTTCTTGCAGCAAACAAGCTGCTAACCAGCAGTGGTGTAGCGTGGGCTGCCAGTGCCCAGTGCTGTGCAGAGGGGAGGTGGGAGGGAGGGAAACAGACGGAGGATGCATGCACATTCAGCTGCCTAAGGGTGTCACCCAGGAGATCACAGAGATACGAAAAGAAGAGTCATTCCATTATTTGGAAAGGTCACTTCCAGGTTCGCATGGAGAAGCTGTTTTCAGTGGAGCCCATGTGTGCCAAAGCTTGCACATTTTTAATATTATTTTTATCTAGCTTAGAACAAAAAAATACAAGCAGTTCCTATGTTTATTTTACTGGCTGAGGCATTGTAGTAATGCATCACTTTCTGAACACTGATTTATAACATTAATAATCATTTGGGAAAATACCTTAGTTTAGAAAATGCTTATCATAATTAAAATGTAATTAAAAATCCAACTTTAAAAAAGCCCCTCTCTTCACACTGTTAGTCATGACACCGACACCACTTTGCCATTAAAATATATCTTTAAAGGTATCTATCAAAAGTGTTTATTAAAATCTAATTACATAGATGATAAGTGTGCATTTCTCATGTAGCACTTGAAATAATCCCGTTGATTGGGTCTCTTTTTCCCATCAGGCTAATTTTATTCTTAAAAAAAACATTTTTATTTAATCTGTTGTAGAGGGTTTAACACACTCCATAGGATATTTAAAAGATCTAAAAGAACAATTTAATTAGAAGAGTGTTTGATGCTCAAATGCAGATCGCAAATGCATTTTCTTTTCATTTTCACTACAGGAAATGGCCCAATGGAATTTTTATTTATACGAGATCTGCAGTTGGAAGGAGGGTTGAACATTTCTCAAATGAAAGGGGTAAATCAGCATATGGAGCACAAGTAGTTGATTAATTGCTGTATATTCATCTCCGTGCTATACTCCTTGGCTCCAATCAAGAGATATTATGTATTATGTACATAAAACAACATCTGTCAATGCCTGATTGTCCAACAGGTGGTCAGCAGTATCACTTTTGATAGCACCAGTCACCTCTTTGGAATGAATGGGGATAGTGAATCTACCACCATCTTTGTCACAAAGTTGTTGGCATCAATCAGCAGCTCAGTGGCTCCCAGTCTGGGATCAATAACTATACAAGCAGCTCCAAGGTCCAGATATTGGGCATCATATGTGTCACACCTTTTGTATATATGACTTCCAAACCATCTGGAAATGTAATTATGAAAGCCCATATCATTGTAGACATTCCCTGATATGGATGAGGACAGCTGGATGGGGGTGGTAGACTCAGATTTATAAATGGAAGCTAAGCATCTCATGCAAAGAAAGAACAGATTATTTCTCATTTTGATTTACAGTTAGAATCCCCAAATATCAACAGGGTGGTGTTCATTTAAGTTATTTACTTTAGTTATGTCCACTGATTTTAATCAGTCTTCTAAACTAATTAATAGTACCACCCACATTATGTACTCTGCAAGGTCTTCTGTTGCAGTGATGCAGCTGCCCATTCCCTGGGTTCACCATGGCACATAGGAAGTAGAATGATGGATCAACCCTCAAACCAATTTGGTTGAAGTAGGATATGTGCAGAATATTTGCTCATCTTAAAACCAAAGTATAATTGTCAGGAGTTTTAACAGATGGTGGACAAAAGAAGAAATAGCTAGTGCACTGTATGTAGCGTTAAACAAGTGTAAACTGATTATTCTGCTCGTTAATACCAAGATGTTAGTAGTTCAAAATGATTTATCTGTTGAAATGAAACAACCTAATTTATGTAGCTTTCTAAACAAAACTTATACTCATTTCTGAAATTTAAAAAAACTAATATCTTGAAGTTTTTGTTCCTTATGTATATGCCAATGGATTTTAGGACAGAAAAGGAATATACTCAGGTCATAGAAACAGCAACAACTTTGAAAACCCTTGGATAAATGTAATGGAAAACAACAGAGAAGTTTAAAAATGTAATTTATGAATATAACAATTTACTGAAGGAAGAGATGAACGACCTTGTAAAAATCTCTTGTTATTGCTAGACATTGTGCTGGATAAATGTTCTTCTAGCCTTTCCAAGGGATAAAAGTATTTCTCATTCCCTTGAAATTTATTAATATTAGAATTGTCTCCAGAGATTCAATAATTTTGCAAAGGCTATCCTGTCAAGGCGGGTTTCTTTGTGTGTGTTTTTTTGCTTTGTTAGGCCAGAAGACAGACATTTTTGGAAGCTACTGCAAAAGCCACTTACTTCATGAGCATAACTGATAAATTCTAAAAATTACTAACAATGGGAAAAGGGTTTTCCTGTTGTTGATGGTTCTGAACAATAAAATTTACTGTACTTGAAACACAAAACAGGAATATAAAATTAACCAGAATAATGCATGCAGGTTTCAACAAAAAATTACCTGCAAATTTTATTAGAATCTGTATTCAATTTCAAATGGCGACTTAAACTATGGGTACCATTCACTGTGTTCTGGGGATTCTCCTAATCCACCAGAGTCATTTTTTTTTGGCGCTGCAGGTGGAGTAGATGGGGAAGAAGCCCTGTTATGCTAGTGGGAGCCCTTTTTGGCTTGTATCTAACACTAGTCCTACTCAAAGTAGAGCAACTGAAGTTAATGGACATACACATGGAAGTCATACACATGGAACAGGATTTATGAAACTGGGTTCTACTGCCTCTTCTTTTCCCCTGCACTCACTTTCATCCCTGAGGGTCTTCCCTAGCTAACAGGACCAGTGGTCAGGAATGATGGGAGTTGTAGTCCCAAAACATCTGGTGGGCTGAGTTTGCCTATGCCTGGTCTAAGAGGTGACTATAGATGAGAATTCAAACATTTAAATCAGCAGCAAAAAAAATGGGGGCATCTTGTGTGACCAGAAGTGTCACATAGATTAGGGCTGCCATACATCTGGATCTTCCCGGACATTACTGGAATTTCAAAGGGATTTTGGCATTTTTGTAAAATAAAAGGAAATCCTGGGCTTAAGCACTTTTTGATCATGTTTGAGCTATATAAATTAGACACCGTACATCAACAAGGGCCTATAAAGTGGTAGTATTCAAATATGTTCAGTATGCACATTAATAAAGCCTTGTAGTAACATTGAACATCTGTTACTGCTTTCCCTATTTCTTCATTGATAGAAAGAGATGACCATTTGGAAATCTGTACACAGCTGAAAGTGTGCGTGCCAATATGCCCTAAAACTAAATTTTAATAATGGTAGTAGATAACTGCTGCAGGCCAACAGAAAGGGCTTGCATAGCAGTTTATTTGACAGGACCTCAGAAGTGTCCTTGAAAGTTTATTCAAGTCCTGTAGGTCAACAATAAAAGAGTTCAATCAGCAATTCTGCCAAGGTTTTTCTCTGACCAAGATGATACGCCTTTGATGTTTCTGTTACTTTGAAATTTTAACTCAGTACAATTCTACCTTCAAATATTTCCCATTGCTTGAAAAGGGGTTTCAAAATAAAATCAGTTTGTGCTTTAAAAAAACCAACGTTAATTAAGATTTGGACAATATAGTTGCAAGAAACAAAACAAATGGGCAGGAAAGTGTATAAAAACTGGGTCACAAAATGAAACTATGACTGAGGAGGGAACTGCCACCCAAACCTTCATTTCCCTGTGTGATGGTAACTGGCCTCACATTCCACACCCCTTGGCCCAATATTCTCCTGCACTTCTTTCCCTCAGCTCTAAGTACTGTCTCAACTTCTCCCTCATTTGTCTTTGATTTTCCTTTTGTGGGCACCATCACTTTCTGGTCCAACTTTCGCCCCTTTGACCCCTCCTACTTCTACACATTCAACCTTAGCTCCCTGCTGACTAAATAAAAAAAATCCTTCCAGTAGCACCTTTAAGACCAACTAAGTTAGTTCTTGGTATGAGCTTTCGTGTGCAAGCACACTTCTTCAGATACACTGAAACAGAAGTTGCCAGATCCTTCTATATAGTGAGAAGGTGGGGAGGTGTATTACTCAGAAGGGTGGTGGGAATGGGAGATTGGCAGATAGCTGAGATGAGCCTGCTGACGACTCTTAACGACTGTAATAGGTCTTACAGGAAAGGCAAGGGGTGAGAAGGTGAGAAATGGCTTAGTCATGTATAATGGGATAAGAATCCAATGTCTTTGTTCAAACCAGGTCTCTCCATGGTTTTAAGTTTGGTAATGAGTTGCAATTCAGCAGCTTCTCTTTCCAGTCTATTTCTGAAATTCCTTTGTAGTAAAACAGCTACTTTGAGATCTTGTATAGAATGTCCTGGGAGATTGAAGTGTTCTCCTACTGGTTTCTCTGTTTTGTGATTCTTGATGTCAGATTTATATAAATCTGACATCAAGAATCACAAAACAGAGAAACCAGTAGGAGAACACTTCAATCTCCCAGGACATTCTATACAAGATCTCAAAGTAGCTGTTTACTACAAAGGAATTTCAGAAATAGACTGGAAAGAGAAGCTGCTGAATTGCAACTCATTACCAAACTTAAAACCATGGAGAGACCTGGTTTGAACAAAGACATTGGATTCTTATCCCATTATACATGACTAAGCCATTCTCACCTTCTCACCCCTTGCCTTTCCTGTAAGACCTATTACAGTCGTTAGAGTCGTCAGCAGGCTCATCTCAGCTATCTGCCAATCTCCCATTCCCACCACCCTTCTGAGTAATACCCTCCCACCTTCTCACTATATAGAAGGATCTGGCAACTTCTGTTTCAGTGTATCTGAAGAAGTGTGCTTGCACACGAAAGCTCATACCAAGAACTAACTTAGTTGGTCTTAAAGGTGCTACTGGAAGGATTTTTTTTATTTTGACTATGGCAGACCAACACGGCTACCTATCTGTAACTGGATCCCTGCTGACTGTCCTTGCTTGTGAGTGTTTATTTTACAGCCTCCCTTCCCTTTGGACCTCTTGAGCAAAATCTTGCTGTTATTGATGGAAAGATCTGTGTGGGTAGTATGAAAAGATTGGACTAATGACTGAATGTCACACTCGTTCCTTTTAAATTATACACGCAAGAGGTCTGTCTCACAGATGAAAGGTTACAGGTTCGTCTATATTTCCCTCCATCTCAAACAGTAACCTCTCCATGTAGCAAATACTAGTGAAGACTGGTAAACACTTGTAGACACTTTAATATTATTTCTTGTAGGCAGCGGCTCCATCAAGAAATGAAAAAGTAATACTGGAAGAGGCCCTCCCATTGTGGGGAGTATGTTTCTGACTGTGGAAACAAATTTGCCCCTCTATTAAGGAATAAAAACTGGCAGAGAGAAGTCTGGGGTTGGTTTGCATGAGGTATTAAAACTATATTAATGAACCAAAATTAGCATAACAAATTGCAAATAGTAATCCAGTCTGGGTATCAACCACACACCAGCAATAAATTGTCCCATGTAACTATCTAATATATTTATAACTATATTTTAAAGTGGCAGAACTTTTTCTTCAATTTCATTAGTAGTTTCCTTGGTCAAGGTGAATAATAATATACATTTCTCCACCCCTTTTCCTGTAATGAAACGGGCTTCAGTTTAAACTTTCATCTGCACAGTACTTCAAAATGCATAATTATGATATAGTATTAAAATAGATAGGATTAAGCTATTCATCATCAAGTGATCTAACTAAAAATATCAACAATAATTAGTCATTCAACTTAATTAATTTTCCATACATGTAAGCATTTATATCCCTCACTTAAACAAGGTGAAAATAAAATAAGAGGCCCAGATTTCTCTGTGTAGATATGTTCCCTGTGTCTAAAAGAGGTGTTTTAAAAATATACGTATCTTTGTTACAACTGTACTGCTAGCAAAAGGCCTGTGCTCCAAAGCTGACTCTGAATAACCAGGATGATTAGATTTGAATGTGACAATTTACTGAAATCTGTGAGCAAAGACATCTTCGCATCAGAGTCGATTGATTCCCATGCTGAATTAACCAAGAATGGGAAAGTTTTAAAAACTATTGGAGGAGATTATTTTCATAACTGAACTTGAACCTACAGCACTAGGAAGGATAAAGTCAAACCATCCAACAAAAGAAACATTAGTTCCTTTGAGCTCCAGTACCAGCACTTTAATGTTGTTTTCTAGCTATCTCCTTTGTGTAGCTAATATTATGATCACAGATGAGATTTTATACACCTCAAGCCTACACGTCCTTGAGTTTGTGCTGAAGAATGTAGCATGGCCTTGTACAGTTAATCAAAACGGAGCTTGCAAATTGAATATTAAAGTCCATGTTGAAATGGAACAGAGAAGGATAAGCATCTGAGAAAGGTGTAAAAAGACACTCAAATCTCTAGGGGCACAAATTCTTCACCCACATAACCTCTGAGGTCATTTCTCACCCACACAGATTCTGTATCCAGCAAGGACATGAAGAATGTGCCCATTCACACGTTCTGTCATTTTTTACTCAGTCCTTTATCAGTGTGTCCATCTTCAATGCAGTCATTCCTATCCTCGTATGTAAGGCACTCCCCATTGCTTCAACTGCTGAAAGTCTGCTAAAGGAAAATTATTCTGCCATTTAAAACCTTGTTTCTTTAGATTTACATAACCTCAATATTTAGTTTGGAGAGTGACATTTCTAAGAAACTGAGGGCAATCCAACTTTTTAAACATGCAAATTGTATCTGGTGCAAAAATCTGAGGATTAAATGTATTTTGCCATGACTGTTCCAGTATGAACCTTTGTATCTAAAATATGCCACAGCATAGGATAGAGTTGCAGAAACATTTACTGCATACTAACTGAAAATTAACCTTTTGACACTGACCAGTAGAAAATCAGTTTTTTGTGTGTGGAGAGTCTGGATGTTGGGTGACCCGTGCTCGTGATTACAGTATCTGAAATTCTGAATGGCTAGAGAAATAGGCAGGGATAGAGCAATATATTTTCTTTGGGAGAGGCTCTCCATGTTAATCAGTGCTCATCAATTAATATTTTTAAATTGAAAAAAGTAGACACTTCTTCATTTTACTGATGCCTCCATTCCTGACTGGAGAAAGATTTGCAAAAGGTTTTTCTTTTTCTTTTCTGTTTTGAAAAATCTTTATTATCTATCTGCCGCCACAAAAATCATTGGCTCCAAGTATGTTATAGGATCATGTTTACTACATGAAGTTACTTAGAGCTACTAGTACATGATACATGGTTTCAATTGCAGCTTTGATATGACTAGACAGCTTGGTGCCAGAGATGAACGATTGAAACAAGTAAAATGGGTTTCTTCTTCCTGGTTCAGTTATCTAAGCCTCTGCTTTTTACCCAATCCACACTTAAAACCATAGAATCTACAGATTGATGTTTTAGAAAATTGGCATAGTGTTCCATGCTAAAAATAATTTCCACAGCCTACTTGTAATATTGGAAGTAATATTGATATTATTCTTGTTTAGCGAGTTAAGATTTTTAGATTTATGTCATTATAGTTCCAGAGCATGCAGGAATTAAATTGAAACAGAGACCAACATATCAGGAATGCCCTAAAGCTTTTGCATGTTTACAAGCAGTTTAAGTACTCAAATAAGTACTTTTCAAAATAGGAGAATTTAACATGTGTAAAAAGGTAAAGGTAAAGGGACCCCTGACCGTTAGGTCCAGTTGCAGATGACTCTGGGGTTGCAGCGCTCATCTTGTTTTACTGGCCGAGGGAGCCAGCATACAGCTTCCGGGTCATGTGGCCAGCATGACTAAGTCGCTTCTGGAAAACTGTAGTGTTTAATGAACAATAAAACATGTATTTTACACATGTGTGTTTGTTATGATGCAATCTGCTTTCCTGAGACAATATCAAAAATTAGCAAGCATCAGTTTGTTGTAGGAGTGCACTGGCTTGCTTTTATTGTTTTAATTTATATTGTTGATTTTACTATGTGCTTATTATAATTTTACATGCTCTTAGTACTTCAACAGTCCAATGGGCTAAGAATGTAAAACATGATTTCTTGAGCTGAATAATAAAATTGATTAGTTTCAGGCTCTTTCTTTGAACTCCTAACAGGTTTTATACAGTTGTTGCACTATATGCATCTTCATGACTATGAATGGAACAAATTATATACTGTACCTAATAGTTCACCCATCCATTTTCATCATTGCAAAAGTGATGGTTAGGGCCAGTCAGCACTGGAATTTCCCCTAATAGTTCAGAATTTCGTAGAGATTTCCCCTAATAGTTCAGAATGGATAAAGTTCTTTCAGGCTGCAGCACAGCACCCCTCAAATGGTTTGTTCTCCTTGGTCTGACAATAAATGTTTCAACATCAACCATCAGTCTCTGTGCGACAACCAGAAATTCTCACTTCGCTGAGTGACTTTCTACATCTCTGTTTGTCTGCCTGCCTGCCTGCCTTCTTCCCATTCCTGCAGCTTCCTTGTACAGTGGTACCTTGGGTTACATACGCTTCAGGTTACACACTCCACTAACCCAGAAATAGTGCTTCAGGTTAAGAACTTTGCTTCAGGATGAGAACAGAAATCGTGCTCCGGCGGCCCGGCGGCAGCAGGAGGCCCCATTAGCTAAAGTGGTGCTTCAGGTTAAGAACAGTTTCAGGTTAAAGTATGGACCTCCGGAACGAATTAAGTACTTAAACCGAGGTACCACTGTATATCAGTTGCTCCCTTTCATTCCTGTTCCAGACATTAGTTGTAACAGAAACCAACTTTTATTCTAAATCAATTCTCTGTTTTTAAAGTTTTTGTTTATCTCTGGATAAAACACCTGTTGATTTCAACCTTCCTATACTAGAAAGAAAGAAAGAAAGAAAGAAAGAAAGAAAGAAAGAAAGAAATGTGGCACTTAAAACTAGTTGCTAAATGAACTAAATCCTTAGTTTAATTTCAAGAAGAAATTTTCAAATTAAGATGAAATGGACTCACCACTATCCTAAAACAAGAGAATAAAATAACAAAGAAACATGCCACTTTGTTCTATGTGAAAGAGAATACTTAATCACGTATCAGCAAAGAATTAAAACACCACAGCACATGAAAGTGTTCTCTTTCTTATTTTACTGGACAAATTAATTGCCAGCAATGGTAAAACTACAAAGCTCTTTAAAATTGTTTCCTAAATATAATAAACAGGACCTAGCACATCTAAATTGCAGCTTCTAAGATCACCACGCAAATGACGGTGGTTGAGGGGCTTCAGCTGAGCTTCTTTATTTAAAATTAAATTGCATCCATCTTTAATGAGTTTGCCAGAAAAAGCTCCTATTCTTTTCTTGGTGCCACAGGACGAAATTATTTACATGTAATCATATTGCTCTCTTCTTCCTCTTAATGTAGAGGATTTAACTATTATATGTATTTTGGCGTCAGATCTAACCTGCAAAAATGGGCGCGGCTTATCT